GCATTGTCCTAAGACATACTTTAACCTTCAGTCTTCATGTGGAGTTAACCCATAACCAATAAATTGAACCTCTTTGGTTCATATCTTGACATTTTCTCTCAGAAAGATATGAAGACAAAAAATAAAAAAAGAAAGGTAAAAGAAACAGAGAAGTCGTCGTTCTTTATACAAGAAGTTAAGAGGAGAATACAAGATGCTCAAAAATAAAACCAAACAAAAGAATCTCTTCATTATACAAGAAGTCAAGAGTACAAGATGGTAAAAAGAAAATGATTCTCTTCAAACCAAATTCATATCCAGAAAAATATACAAAACATAAAAGTCTCATTAAAGCGATTTCTATAATAGTCTCATTAAAGCGATTTCTATTGAAAGCTAATCTTTATAAGTCTTCCAACATAACTTTTGCAACCAATGTTCTTAAACTTCAACTTTAGTGAGACTATTGACGATATCTTAGAATGTGAGGCTTTCATGGATTTTCCAACAAATATTACAGATGTTGGCGAGGAGATGTTGGACATTGAAGCATATACAATATAACATCTAGTTAACTATCTTGATTTGTTTCAAACTTCAGAACAAGTGGTTGCATGCAGCAATCGTGCGATAATTTTGAATAACACAACACCAAACGAGACAATGTTTTACAAGATATAGCTAATTATTATTTATAATTTTTTAAAATCCATTTTAGTAATTTATATAGTGTTATTTATATTTTCTTTTCAAAAATAGCAGAAATTATATAGAATAAGAAAAATTTCCATTTTTTTTGTTCGAGAGTTAATTTTGGAAAAATTGCATTCTCATATTTCTCCGTTTTCATTAATATAGAAAATTTAGCTTACAATTAAAAGAAATTATGGATAATTCAAAATGTAAATAGTTCACATTTGTCAAGAAATTTATTCAAGCTTCATATTAATGATTTCACAAAATCCTAACCCCTTAGTGTTGTCTCCCACATCGAAGAAACTTCTATAAATTTACGTTAGTTATTTGGTTTTGAATTGAAAACCTATAAACCTTAACATATCTAATATAATATTTTAAGGTTTCTCAAAACCAAAGTGATGAGAGGCTGCCATGTGTCATCTATTTTTTTTTACTTTTGGCTTTTTAATTTATTTATTAAAAAAATAAAAATTAAATTCTCTTAATAACTTTATCAATTAGTTGTAACAATTTAATAGGTAATTCTTATGCAAATTAATTCTAACAAATTACATTTAAGTGTCTTATGCACATTTATGTAATTCT